CTATAGATTGCTTTGGGTAATATGGACATTTTAATGATGTTAATTCTTCCAATCCATGAACAAGGTATGTGCTTCCACTTTTTTACATCTTCCTCTATTTCTTTTTTCAATGTCCTGTAGTTTTCTGCAAATAGGTCCTTTACTTCTTTGGTTAAGTTTATTCCTAGGTATCTTAATTTTTTTGCCGCGATGGTAAATGGGATTGTTCTTTCAGTTTCTCTTTCTGTGAGTTCATCATTGGTGTATAAGAATGCCGTCGATTTCTTGACATTAATTTTGTATCCTGCTACTTTGCCAAATTCATTTATGAAGTCTAGTAGATTTTTGATGGAGTCTTTAGGGTTTTTTATGTATAATATCATGTCATCTGCAAATAATGACAGTTTCACTTCCTCCTGTCCAGTTTGGATCCCTTTTATTTTTTCTTCATGTCTGATTGCTGTGGCTAAGATTCCAATACAATGTTAATAAGAATGGTGAAAGTGGACATCCCTGTCTTGTTCCTGTTCTTAAGGGAAATGTTTTTAGTTTCTACCCATTGAGTATGATGTTGGCTGTAGGTCTTTCATATATGGCCTTTATTATGTCGAGATATGATCCCTCTATTCCCACATTGCTGAGTGTTTTTATCAGAAATGGATGCTGGATTTTGTCAAATGCTTTTTCAGCATCTATTGATATGATCATGTGGTTTCTATTCTTCATTTTGTTTATGTGGTGTATCACATTTATTGATTTGCGAATATTGTATTAGCCTTGCATCCCTGGGATGAATCCCACTTGGAATAATTTTTTGGATGTATTGCTGGATCCGATTTGCTAGTATTTTGTTCAGAATTTTGGCATCTATGTTCATCAGGGATATTGGCCTGTAGTTTTCTTTCTTTGTAGTGTCTTTTTCTGGTTTTGGAATTAGAATTATGCTGGCCTCATAAAATGAGTTTGGAAATCTTCCTTCTTCTTGAATTTTTTGAAATAGTTTGAGGAGAATGGGTGTTAGTTCTTTTTTGAATGTTCGGTAAAACTTCCCCGTGAAGCCATCTGGGCCTGGGCTTTTGTTTGCTGGGAGAGTCTTGATTACCTCTTCAATTTCCTTAGTTGTTATTGGTCTGTTCAAGTTTTCTATCTCTCCCGGTCCAGTTTTGGGAGACTGTGTGTTTCTAGAAATTTGTCCATTTTGCTTAGATTGTTGCCATATAATTGTTCATAGTAGCTGTTAACGATCTTTTGTATTTCTGTGGTGTCAGTGTTACTTCTCTTTCATTTCCGATTTTGTGCATTTGGGTTCTCTCTCTTTGTTTCTTGGTGAGTCTAGCTAAGGGTCCATCAATCTTTTTTATCTTTTCAAAAAACCAGCTCTTTGTTTCATTGATCCTTTGAATTTTATTTTATTTTTTTTGTTCTCTATGTCATTTATTTCTGCTTTGCTCTTTACTATTTCCTTCCTTCTACTTGCTCTGGGGTTTTCTTTTTGTTTGCTTTCTAATTCTTTAAGTTGTGAGGTTAGACAGTCAATTAGAACTTTTTCTTGTTTCTTGAGGTAGGCCTGTAGTGGTATGAACTTCCCACTCAGAACTGCTTTTGCTGCATCCCACAGATTTGTGTTGTTGTGTGTTCATTTGTATTGGTTTCCAGGAAGTTTTTAATTTTTTCCTTGATCTCCTTGGTAACCCATTCATTGTTTAATACCATGCTATTTAGCCTCCATGTGTTCAAATGTCTTTGCATGTTTTTGTTGCAATTGATTTCTAATTTCATGCCATTGTGATCTGAGAAGATGCTTGATATGATTTCAGTGTTCTTGAACTTGTAGAGATTTAGTTTCTGTCCTATCATGTGGTCTATCTTTGAGAATGTCCCATGTGCACTTGAGAAGAATGTGAATTCTGTAGTTTTGGGGTGTAATTCTCTGTAGATATCTATTAAATCCATTTGGTCTAGTGCTTCATTTAGAGTCTCTGTTTCCTTGCTAATTTTTTGTCTAGAGGATCTATCCAGTGGTGTCAACGGGGTGTTGAAGTCCCCTGCTATGATTGTATTGCTGTCAATTTCTCCTTTGAAGTCCTCCAAAAGATTTTTAATATATTTTGGTGCTCTTATATTGGATGCATATATGTTTATCAAGGTTATATCTTCCTGTTGGAAAGATCCTTTCAATATTATGTAGTGGCCTTCTTTGTCTCTAGTTATGGTCTTCATTTTGAAATCTATTTTATCAGATATGAGTATTGCTACCCCAGCTTTTTTTTGCTTTCCATTTGCTTGGAAAATTTTTTTCCATCCCTTCACTTTCAACCTATGTGAGTCTTTTGTTGTGAGGTGGGTCTCTTGAAGCAACATATAGATGAGTCATGCTTTCTTATCCAGTTAGCTACTCTGTGTCTTTTTATTGGAGGATTCAGTCCATTTACATTTAAAGTGATTATTGATATGTACTTATTTATTGCCATTTTTGTTTAGTTTGGTTATATTTTTCTTCCTATTTCTTCTACTAATTACAGCAGTCCTTTTAACATTTCTTGTGCTGGTTTGGTGCTAATGTATTCCCTTAGCCTTTTTTTTTTTGTCTGGGAAGCTCTTTATTTGACCTTCTATTTTGAATGACAGCCTTGCTGGGTAGAGTAGTCTTGGATTCAGATCCTTGTTTTTCATGACCTTGATTACTTCATGCCATTCCCTTCTGGCCTATAGTGTTTCTTGTGAGAAGTCAGCTGAGAGCCCTTTGGGGTTTCCTTTGTAGGTATCCTGTTGCTTATCTCTTGCTGCTTTTAGGATTCTTTGTCTTGCTGCTTTTAGGATTCTCTCTTTGTCTTTAATTTTTGGCATTTCAATTACTATGTGTCTTGGTGTGGGCCTGTTTGGGTTCTTCTTACTTGGGGCTCTCTGTGCTTCTTGAACTTGAATGCCTTCTTCCTTCACCAAATTAGGGAAGTTTTCTGTCACTATTTTTTTGAATATATTCTCTAACCCTTGCTCATTTTCTTCTTCTTCGGGGACTCCTATGATGCAAATATTATTATGTTTCCAGTTGTCCCACAGTTCTCTTAAGCTGTCTTCCTGTTTTTTAATTGTTTTTTCCTTTTTGTTTTCTGATTGGTTGATTTTTCCTACCCTGTCTTCTACTTCGCTGATCTGATCCTCAGCTTCCTGTACTCTGTTCTTTAGACCTTTCAATGTGTTCTTTATTTGTGATATATCACTCTTGATCTCTTCCTGGTGGTTTTTAATTTCTAATTGGTTTATTTTCAGCATCTCTATGTCCTTACTCATGCTGTTGAACTTCCTCAAGATCATGGCTCTGAATTCTAGCTGTTAACATGCCTAACTGCTCCACATTGATATCATCTTCAGTGGAGGTCTCTTGTTCTTTCATTTGGCTTTTGTTTCTGTGTTTCACCATTTTGGCTCTCACAGTGGGCTTTGGAGCCTGCCAAGTTTTCCCTGTGGGTATTGGTGTTCTGCTGTTTGTGGCTCTCTCTCCTGGGTTTAGATGAACGAGGGAGGACCCACATTAAACACCACTGTCAAGTCTTACTTTCCTGGTTAAAGTTGCTCACTCAGGAATGGTACTGTTATCCTCTAGCTTTTTGCCTGGAGGCTAGCAGTCCAGGTTACTTGAAGAGTTTTAGGTTGTCAGTTGATTGAAAAACTCCCTCAGATGCTCAGCATAAGGGGATTTCCCGAGGGTGGGGCAGATGCTGGTTGTTAATGAGCCTCAATTTTCATTTCAGTGGCCCACAGGGTGGGGTTGAATCTCCGAGGGAGGGGCTGCTGCCTCTCCCCAGAGTCCTGGGAAGGAGCAATATGGCGCCGCCGTCCTGCATGGCTGCAACTCAGCAAAAGCTCTGAGTGCCCTGTAAATCCCGAATGTCCTCACACAGTTCCAGTCCAGTCTGCCCTCCCTCTGCCCGAGCCCAAGGTGAGTGGCTGTGGCTATTTTAGCCTCTGTTCCGGTTCTGCGCTGTGGAGCTGCTTGGGAGTGTAACCCGAGGGCGCTGTTCACAGCTAAGGCCGCTGCCAACCAGTGGGCTTCCAGCCCCCGTCTCGCGCCTTCGCAATCCTACCAGGATCTAGTCAGTGTCCCTGGTTATATGGTCCTCACAAGCTGCTTTTCTGTTGCTTTTTCCTATTGATTTGTCTGTTTTAGTTGTAATTCCAGTTTGGTCCTAGGAGACGGTCTGTGTAGCTTCCATTCACTCCACCGCCTTTTTTTCCCGAGAGTTCACTTTTAAAGCACTTTCCTGGGGTAGTTATAGAGTCGCCTTACCCACTTAGGGTCTGGACCAAGAATACTGCAGCAGTTACACCTCTGAGTCATACGAAGTAGCTCTTCTATTTTACTTAAGGGCCTTGTCTGCATATCTTTGAGAAAACCAAGAGGTAATTAATTATAAGGCCTCAAAGGAATTGGTTTTTAATTCACTCACTGTTTGAATACTGTTCTAGTCAGTTAATATGTATTGACCTACTGTGTGAGCAGCACCATTCTGAACCCTTCATTGGAGTTTTCTTTTTTAAGGATTTTTAAATTGATTTTTAGAGAGATGAAAGGAAAGCCCTGGCCGGTTTGGCTCAGCAGTTGGAGTGTTGGCCCAGAACCAAAGAGTCACGGGTTCAATTTCAGTCAAAGGCATGTACCTCGGTTGTGGTTCTGTCCGGGCCCGGTCGGGGTTGTGCGGGAGGCAGCCAATCTATGTGTGTGTGTGTGTGTGTGTGTGTGTGTGTGTGTGTGTCCCCAGCACTCTGAAGATAAATGGAAAAATATCCTCGGGTGAGGATATTTTCTAAAAAAAGAGAGATGAAGGGAGAGAAACATAACTTCAACTGCCTCTTGCATGCCCCCTACCTGGGATCCAGCCGGCCTGGAATCCAACCAGCAACATTTTGGTTCCAGGGAGGACGCCCAACCAACTGAGGCACACCAGCCAGGGCTTAAGTTTTCAATGTCTATTGTACATAGTGCAACTTGGGCGTGTGTGTGTTGGGGGGGCGGGGGTGTTGGACACCACAGACATAGAGGATAGTGTTCTTGCCCTTTAACAACAGTTTACTTGGGAAGCAATTACATAACATGGAGGATTCTGATCAACTTTATTTTGCCTGTTTTCTTCTCTGTGAAATGAGGGAATTGGAAAAAGTTCCCTTCCAACTCCATTACGATGATGCAGTACAAATTCTGAGGATTTCAAGGTAAGTACTTCATATACTACCTTTGCTCTCACATCCTCATCTCCTAAACATCCTAAAATATTTTACACAGAGACTCTCTTCCATTCCTTCAGATAAAGCACCATTTCAACTTTCACCTGGGTTACCCAAAGTTGCTTTTACCCCTCCAACTGGTTTCCTTCATAATCTAGTCTTCTCATCACTAATTTCACATATTCCCCAGGGCTCCACCACTCACACACACACACCCCCCCCACCCCCCACCACCCCCCCGCCAACTACTGTTTCTTTATAGTTCCTACTCATCTCTAGTTCTGCCATCCTCCTTGTAATCTGCAACCTCCCATCAGGATTATGTTGTCTGTGAACCTTCAGGGAAGGCCTAACAACTCACTGTAACTTTGTCCAAGCCAAGGAGAGAAACTTGGCAACACAGCTCCCTACTCATTCATCTTGTCCAATCTGTTTCCTTTTTTTTTCTTAATTGTTGAAAGTATTACAGATGTCCTCCTTTTTTCCCCCATTGACCCCCTCCTTCCTGCTTTCCCCAACCTAATGTCTGTGTCCTTTGGTTGTGCACATATGCGTGTAAGTTCTTTGGTTTATCTCTTCCCACCTTTCCTACTCCCCATCCCTTTGAGGTTTGTTAGTCTGTTCCCTACTTCTGTGACTCTGGATCTCTTTTGGTCGACAGCTTATTTTGTTCATTATGTTCCATAAATGAGATCTTGCAGTACTTGTCTTTCTCTGACTGGCCTATTTCATTTAGCATAATACTCTCCAGGTCCCTCCATGTCATCTCGAAGGGTAAGAGATCTTTCCTTCTTCAGCTGCATAGTATTCCATTGTGTATAGGTACTACAGCTTTTACTCATCTACTGATGGGCCCTTGGGGCTGTTTCCAGATCTTAGCTATTTAAATAGCACTGCTATGAACATAGGGGTACATATATTCTTCCTGATTGGTGTTTCAGGCTTCTTAGGATATATTCCAAGAAGTGGGACCACTGGGTCAAATGGCAGTTCCATTTTTAATGTTTGGAGGAAATACCGTATTGTTGTCTATAGTAGCAGTACCAGTCTGCATTCCCACCAGCAGTGTGCTAGAGTACCCTTTTCTCCACATCCTCACCAGTACTTGTTTGAGGATTTGTTGATGGCTGCCATTCTGGCAGGTGTGAGGTGATACCTTATAGTTGTTCTAATTTGCATCTCTCTGATTAGAGATGTTGAGCATTTTTTCATCTGTTTCCTGGATACTCAGCTGATTTTTAATATTTCATTTCTTCTTTCTTCCCAAACTGTTACCATCCTACTCCCCACTATCTCGATAGCCTGAAATGTTGATTTTATCATTTATCTACTTCCTAGAAAGCTCCCAAGGGATCAATGCAACTGAATTGGAACAGAGGGGAGAGGGCATAGATGAAACTCAACTAGCTTATGGTCTCAGCTTACTAAGTCTTTGTTTTATAAGGCTGTTTAGCACAGACCTGATACGTTTCCCCAGCTATCTGAAAGTAGAATGTACCTACGAATCCTTTCATAAGCTGAAATGGTGTAAAATATCCCCAGCTTTCCCAAAGTTCTCATTAGTACCTATTTTCACTAACCTAAAGAAATTGAAGAGGATATTTGCTTTGATGAGAGTCATCACATAATAACATAGGTCTTTTGTAAAAGGGAACTAGTGTATAACAGTAACTTTTGGAAAGCAGGGGATACCTGTACCTCCAAATGTTTTCTACCTTAACTCCCTAAAGCAAACAGGAAAAAAAAAATCTGTAAGTTTCTAAAAATAAAAAGGCCTGCTATTCGCCGAAATTCCAGCAGATGGCAGAAACCCCTGTTCACCACTGGACACTTGAAGGACATAGGAGCATACTTTCTGGAATTGACGAGCAGAGGAATAGAAAAAAATGAGGTAAGCAGAGGACAAAAGTTTTCTACCCACCTTTTCAGAGAAAGACATTTTTGTTTTAATTTTTTTTTCTTTATTGATTTTAGAGAGAAAGGAAAGGAGAGAGAGAGAGAAACATCGATGAGCGAGAACACTGATTGGGCACCTCCTGCATGCCCCCCACTGGGGATTGGGCCCACAACCTGGGCATGTGCCCAGACCAGGAATCAAACCAGCGACCTCTTGGTGCATGGGTCAGTGCTCAACCACTGAGCCACACCGGCCAGGCAGATATCCCTACATTTGTCCCCAAAAGAGTAGTTATCTACCAAGAGCTAAACATAATTATAGTGTAATAAAAAGAGCATGTGCCAGATATTGCTGGATTCCCATCCTCAAATTATTTACTAGCTTTAAAAATTTGGGAGTTACTCCTCTTTTCTGGTCTGCATTGGTAAAACTAACATCTACCCTCTATCTGTAAAGATTAAATGAGTTAAGATCTGCAACATGGTGCTAAGTATTTAGCAGACAGTGAATAAATGTAGGTCCCTCTTTTTACTACTACATCTATTTCACAACTGCAGTAACAGAGCCAGAGTAAAACATTGCATTGGCTACTTATTAAGCTGTATTTTTGAGAGTCTTTAGCCATAATTAGTGAAAAATCTAATAAAGATGAAATGCTAAAGGAGAAGTCAAAGTAGAAAGAGAAAAAATTTGGATGCAAGTAAGGCTCTTAAAAGGGCCCACACCAAAGGTTCCTAGCATTTCAAAAGAGTGATAACAATGACTCTCAGGACTCAAGGATTAATCAGATCATGAAATTGCACACCTAATAAATGACAATAGTGACTAATAATGAAATTCTTTTTTATTATTTTGGAGAAAGAAAGCAGGGAAAAAAACACACATTAACAACTATGATGCCAAGCTTTTGAAGAATAAAAATGTCCCAGCTAGGAGGGATGTCTCCCTCAGTTTCTGTTTTATCAGTATGAATAAAAAGCTCTTGCTCCTTCACCAAGTCCTGTACTCAGAAAGAACGGACTCAAGTCTGGAAGAACAACCATCTCAACTGTGAAGGGCTGAAACCTCCAAAAACAGTCATTGTTTTCTCTTGTCCATCTTCATCTCAGTGGTGATATGGCCAATGCCCAAGGAACCTGTGACAGGGATCCCAGGGTGAAGCAGCAGCAGATGTCTATGAACCCTGTGTGGTGACAGTGGCTCACAGCCTCCAGACTCAGAGCTCTGCATGGTGGGCTTCTGCCTTCAACAACTCACTGGGTTTCATGAAGATGCCTTCCATTGCTTTCCAGTAGTTGTTCTGGCTTGGCTGAGCCATGCCATGCACCTCTTTTTGCCCACTGATGGGTCGACCATATTGTTCTCCTGTGACAGAGAGCAGAACGTCGGTAGAAGAATGCTTGAACCGCACCTCACCATCCCTCACCCAGTAGGGCCCATTACAGAGCACTGTCCAGTCATCCAGATAATCGCCTTCACCTTCCTCACCAAATGCACTCACTTCCTGGAAGACACAAATGGTAGCAACATTAGCATGGCTGGCACATAGTCTTGGAAAAGGGAGGTAAGGTAATGGGAAAAAAAATAAGGCTACCCAAAGTGAAACATGGGAGGCTTTCCAGGGTTGTTTAAAATTAAGTAAATAATTTAACCTGAAAAAATGATCAGAGGTCACAAAGGACACAAAATTGGTTGCCATAAGATTATGGCCCAAACACTAATTTTGCAAGTAATCCTTTATTTGCCTTATATTTTCTATTATAGTCTTAAAATACTTGATAACTCTTTTTTTTTCCTTTATTAATTTTTAGAGAGGGAGAGAGAGACAGAAGCATCGATGAGAGAGAACATTGACTGGCTGCCTCCTGCATGCTCCCCACTGGTGATCGGGCCCACAACCTGGGCATGTGCCCTGACCGGGAATCAAACCGGCAACCTCGTGGTGAATGGGTCGATGCACAACCAGTGAGCCACACGGGCCAGGCCTTAATAACTCTTATTATTTGACTTTAAATATTCCTGCCTTATTCCCTTAACTAGATTTTAAGTGATTTGGTAAGAAACAAGCTGGAGCCCAGCCAGTGTGACTCAGTGGTTGGGTGTCGACCCACGCACCAAGAGAGCGCTGGTTCAATTCCTGGTCATGGCACATGCCCAGGTTGTGGGCCAAATCCCCATTGGGGGGCATGCAGGAGGTGGCCAGTCGATGTTCTCTCATTGATGTTTCTATCTCTTTCTCCCTCTCCCTCTCTCTCTAAAATCAATATAGGGAAAAAAAATTAAAAAAAGAAACAAGCTGGAGACAAGCAGACACTGAATCTCAGCTCTATTTATTCCTATGTAACTCCTTCAAGCCTTCATTTTCTCTTTTATAAAATAACAATATGACCTTACAGAATAATTATGAGAAATAAGAAATCTTTTTTTCTTTATTGATTTTAGAGAGAGGAAGAGAGAGAGAGAGAGAAACATTGATGAGAGAGAATATAAATTGGCCGCCTCCTGCACGCTCCCCACTGGGGATTTGGCCCACAACCTGGGCAAGTGCTCTGACCAGGATCGAACTGGTGACCTCCTGATGCATGGGTCAATGCTCAACCACTGAGCAACACTGGCTGGGCTAAATAAGAAATATTAATTGAGCAAATTATAGCAGATTCTGTCTTCTACTCCTAATCCCATTACCCTTGGGGCCAAATATTCAATTACTATTACAATAAAAGTTACTGACTAATTCAGAAACATATCAATTAAATACACACTAATAGCTATATAATTTAAAATGATAAAAAGCACTCATTTTGAAACAGTCTAAGACTAAAGGCAAAAGGAACTGCACCTAATTAACAATTCTGCTACTATACGTGTATACTAGAATTGAACAAGTAAGTGAACAGAGATAGTGGAGCCAGGTATTGCCCCGTGGAAATTTACAAATATGCAAAAGGAGAAGGCTAGAATGATCTATGTGGTAATGGATTAGAGTTGGAGACATCACTAAAAACTCATGTTTAACTTAACATACATGTAGATGGTTACAATATAAACATTTATAGGTATGTGTATATATGTTTACACATATATATTTCTTTGCTCTGTTAGGTGAGATGGCCTAAAAGAAACACTCCAGCCCGGCCAGTGTGGCTCAGTGGTTGAGCATCGACCCATGGACTAAGAGGTCACTGGTTCGATTCTTGGTCAGAGCACATGCCCAGGTTGTGGGCCCAGTCCCCAGTGGGGGTCATGCAGGAGGCGGCCAATTGATGTTCTCTTTGTTTGATGTTTCTATCTCTCCCTCTCCCTTCCTCTCTCTCTCAAATCAATAAAGGAAAAGAAAAAAAAAAGAAACACCCCAGTAGCCACAAGCTCATGTCGGGCCCAGATCTCAGTTTCTAATACCATTCTCCAATAACAGGAAGCAGGGGTCCTAAGAGAATTGGTTGATTCTAGGACTGGGGCAAGAAATACACAAGATGAGCCTGGAATACCTTTTAGTGCCAGAAAGTAAGAAAGTATAAAAACAGCCCTGGCAGGTTTGGCTCAGCAGTAGAGTGTTGGCCCACAGACCAGTGAGTCATGGGTTGGATTCTAGCCAAGGGCACATACTTTGGTTGCAGTTCGTCCCCGGCCTTGGTCAGAGTTGTGTGGGTGGCAACCAGTTGATGTGTCCCTCCCTCTCTCTCCTTATCTCTCTCCCTCCCACTCTATACGAAGATAAATAGAAAAATAACCTCCAGTGAGGATTAAAAAAAGAAAGTGTAAAAACACACCCACACACATGCACACTGATAGGAGTAGGTCAAATGGACAAGGGATACAACTGAAAGCTCCAAACAGCCACAGCTGGGACAACTTGGAACAACAAAACAATTTGAGCAACAAAAGAAAGACAGTGATACTGGAGCCCGGCTGGTGTGGCTCAGTGGTTGAGCATCGACCCATGCACCAAGAGGTTGCCACTTCAATTCCCAGTCAGGGTATCTGCCCAAGTTGTGGGCCAAATCCCCAGTGTGGGGCATGCAGGAAGGGGGGCCAATTGATGTTCTCTCTCTCCCTCTCCCTTCTCTCTCTCTCTAAAATCAATAAAGAAAAAAAAATTTTAAAAAGAAGTGGTACTGGATTATAACTCAAAGTATAAAATAAATACCAATGAGTCCATACTGATAGAAATAAAGGATTAAATAAATAAAAAGGGACAAGTCTTCCATACAGAAGAATTCCAAATAAATCATATAGCTACTCCACCCTAAAGGAGGAGAAGTATAGGCACTCTCCTTCCAGGGAGCATGCCTGTGCCTTTCCCCTCCCCTCTCTTCTTCCCCACCCCAGACACCTTACCTTTCTTTCTCCTAAGCTCCAAGGGCCCTTCTTTGGCCTCTGTAATTTGTTTCCTGAACCCATTTCTTCTACAGCTCACTTCTTCTGCCTCTATGACTTTCTAAATAAACTTTCTGTAGTTAAAAAAAAGTTTTTTAATATATGCTTTTATTGATTTCTTTGGAGAGGAGATAGAAACATCCATGTGAGAGGAACATCACTCGGCTGCCACCTGCACGCCCCCTACTGGTCATAGAGCCCACAACCCTGACATGTGCCCTGACCAGAAATTGAATAGGACCTCTCAGTCCATGGGATGACACTCAATCCACACCAGCTGGCAAACTTAACAGTTTAAAAAAAAGAGAGAGAGAAGCTTAACTTCCTATTCTTAAGTATAGGCTGTCCAAAGTGACTTCTTTCTAGAGTATACCATGGAAAGGAGGAAAATGAGGAGTAATTTTACAGGAGAATCCTCACAAACACTAATTCAACCTGGTGATCAGTATCAACAGTTATAAATCATATCAAGAGTATCTATTCTTGTTATGATATGATGAAAATGGCACTTTTACCTGTGAGCTTTCTCCCAAAAACCTTTATAAATTCGGTCTAATTATAAGAAAAACATCAAGCAAATTCCAATAGAGGAGCACCCTATAATATACCTATCCAGCACTCCTCAAAACTGTCAAGGTCATCAAAAACAAGAAGAATCCAAGAACTATCACAGCCAAGAGGAGCTTAAGGAAACATGGCAACTAAATGTAATGTGGTATCCTGGATGGGATCCTAGAACAGAAAAAGGTTAGTGGAATAACCTATGGACTTTTGTTGATAGCAGTGTATCAATATTACCAATTAACTGTAGCAAATCTATACCAATGTTAAGATGTTAATAGAGAAAATTATGTACAGAGTGGGGGTAGGAAGGAAGCAGTTATTAAGGGGTCCCACATCCCCCAAAAGCACAAGGCTTAAAAAAAGGCACAATACTGAAGGGTCTTGGATTCAATTCCCAGTCAAAGGCACATACCTGGGTTGCAGATTCGATACCTAGCCCCGGCTGGGGTCGTGTGAGAGGCAACCAATCGATGTCTCTTTCACATCAATGTCTGTCTGTCTGTCTGTCTCTCCCCTTTCCTCCCTCTCTTCTACTCTATCTAAAAATCAATAGAAAAATATCCCCAGCTGAGGATTAAAAATAAAAATGGCACAATACCTAATTCATTTTCCTAATGTGATCAGTTGGCATCATTACAATAACAATAATTTTTATTGCAAGTTTGGGAAACCTTAGATTTTTTTAAGACTTATCAAGATAATTTGTAATATGCTAACATATACCTATTCTGTCTTTCCTCCTCATTTCTTTTTTTTCTTTCTTTCTTTTTTTTTTTTGGTGGTACGTGCCCCTAGCGGGAACTGAACCCGGGACTCTCTGGTCTGTAGGCTGATGTTCAACCACTGAGCCAAACTGGCCAGGGCTCCTCCTCATTTCTTGATTTGATCTAGAAGTAAAGTCTCCATTTTGATCAGAAACAATTTCTTTCAGACAAAGCCAATTCTCTAGGTCTGCACACAAGAGAACATCTACACCTGGAAAAGAAAGAACTAAGAACCAAGATATCAACCAAACAACTCAACTGAGTAAAGCACAAAGCAGTGACAACCCACAGGATGCCACCTCACCTGGTTTCCAGAGAGAGGTGAAGTAAAGTGGTGACTATGGAGGTTTCGGCCAGTGTTGACATGTGTAAGCCGAATGGGCTGGCCACATCTGATGGGTGTTCCCCTCTCACACACTGTGGAGGTCTTCCCCCGTATCCTCCAGTAACTATTGCTGTCATCCACAGACGTTACACCTGTCACTGACTGCTGCCCGCTACCTGCAGTCCAAAGAAAGAAAAGGTGAGTTCAACTGTACCCTTCTCTTTCCTATGGCCAATAATATGGCCCATGTCATAAAACAGGCGTGGAGGGATGGGGAGGAAACCCTATGCTTGGAAATATTTTTTTCTTCTACAACACCAATATATATGAAAATTACCAAATGTATTTATATAGTATTAGTTATGTGTGGTAAACTATATTTAAGAGTGTACCATATCAGAAAATTCCAATAATTTGCATTAAAGGGCACTAAATAAATGAACTTATGTGGTTTTTTTGAAGCACAGCAGCATTTACCTATATATACCAGCCTGGATAGCCCCTAGTATATACCAAGTGTCTAATAGAATTTTAACATGTTTGTAATATTATTTAATGTTAACTATCTAGTACAAACAAACAAAAATTTTATCATATTTCACAATTAAAATGAGACCAGTTTTGCCCTGGCCAGTTTGGTTCAGTGGTTAGAGTGTCAGCCCGTGGACCAATGAGTCGCATGTTGGATTCTGGTCAAGGGCACGTACCTCAGTTGCTGTGCGTCCCTGGCCCTGGTGGGGGTCATGCAGGAGGCAACCAGTTGATGTGTCTCTCTTCCATCAATGTTTCTCTCTCTCCTTCCCTCCCACTCTATCTGAAAATAAATAGAAAAAAAAAAAAAGTCCTCAGGTGAAGATGGAAAAAAAAAAAATTAATGAAATCCGTTTTGCCCTGTCTGGTGGCTCAGTTGGTTGGAACATCACCCTGCACACCAAAATGTTGTGGGTTCAATTCCCGGTCAGGGCACATACCTAGGTTGCAGGTTCAATCCCTGGACAGAGTGAGTATGGGAATCAACCGATCAATGTTTCTTTCTCATATCGATGTTTCTCCCCCTCTCTCTCTCTAAAATCAATAAAAACATATCCTTGTGTGAGGATTAAAAAAAAAAGAGCCCTGGCCAGTTTGGCTCAGCAGTTAGAGCATTGGCTTAGGGAGAAGAGTGACAAGTTCAATTCTGGTCAAGGCCTGTACTTCAAGTTGCAGTTCGATCCCCGGCCCTGGTCAGGTCGTGCAGGAGGCAACCAATCAGATGTGACTCTCACATCAATGTCCCTCTGTCTCTGTCTCTCTCTCCCTCCCTCCCCTCTTCTCCTCTATTTGACAATGAATGGAAAAATATCCTGGAGTGAGGATTAAAAAAAAAAGAGAGAGACAAGTTTTGTTTTTTATTGATTTTTTTTAGGGAGATAAAAACATTGATTGGCTGCCTCCTGCATGCCCCCTACTGGGGATCAAGCCTGTAACTTGGGCATGTGCCCTGACTGGGAATTGAACCAGGACCTCTTAGTCCATGGGATGACGCTCAACCACTGAGCCACACAGGCTGGGAAGAGACCAGTTTTTTATGTCAACTTTAATCCAAACACAGCTCCTGAGTTTTTGTAAGTGATCTCAAGTTGGTTAATACAGCCCAAAGTGGTATAATTCTAAAGGTTAAAAGGTACTGGGTTGCCCTGGCCGGTTTGGCTCAGTGGTTGGAACTTATGCCTGCAGTCCAGAGAGACCCGGGTTCGGTTCCCGCTAAGGGCACATACCTCGGTTGCAGTTTGTCCCCGGCCCTGGTTGGGTCGTGTGGGTGGCAACCACTCGATGTGTCCCTTTCATGTCGATGTTTCTCTCTCTCTCTCCCTCCCACTCTATCTGAACAAAAAATGTCCTCGGGTGAGGATAAGAAAAAAGAAAAAAAAAAGGTACTAGGTTAAATATATAGCTACATGCTTAAAAAAGAAAACACACCTAGTATTTGCCAGCTAGCTAATGTGTACTGAGCACTTAGTAGATGTCAGATACTAACCCAAGACTTTTGATTGAATATTCTTTTATTTTTTATCCTCACCCGAGGACATTTTTTCATTTTTTGTTCTGATAGAGCGGGAGGGAGAGAGAGGGAGAGAGAGAGAGAGAAACATCGATGTGAAAGGTACACATTGAGTGGCTGCCACCTGCACAACCCAACCAGGGCCAGGGACAAACTGCAACCAAGGTACATGCCCTTAGTGGGAACCGAACCCGGGTCTCTCTGGACCACAGGCCAACACTCTAACCGTTGAGCCAAATCGGCCAGGGCATGATAGAATATTCTTATTTGATGCATGCATCTACTCTGAGGTTAAGTTTTCTCATTATCGTTATCCCTATTTTACACTGGAATGTTAGAAAGACTGAATAATATGCCCAGTCACACAACTCCAAGAGACAGTGCTGGGGTTCGAATATAGAAGCTGTAATTCTAGAACTCACATTCTTTTCTTTCTTTCTTTCTTTCTTTCTTTCTTTCTTTCTTTCTTTCTTTCTTTCTTTCTTTCTTTCTTTCTTGTACCTATTCTATGATTCCATTTAATAATTTTTCTTTATTGATTTTAGAGAGAGAGGAAGGGAGAGGGAGAGATAGAAACATCGATGAGAGAGAACATCAATTGGCCACCTCCTGGATGCCCCCCCCCAATGGGGATTGGGCCCATAATCTGGGCATGTGCCTTGACCAGGAATCAAACCGGTGACCTCTTGGTGCATGGGGCAACATTCAACTATTTAGCCACTCCAGCCAGGCTAGAACTCACATTCTTAAACATTCTACCACATGGCCTCGCACAAAACTTTATTGTCTGTCAAATCTCCCCCAAATAGGCTACTCTAGCATATCAAGGCCAGGGATATTCTCTTCCCTAGGCCTCAATCACACACAATTCTTTAAAGGCACTTCATATTTCCCAGAACTTTCTTCAGGTACTCTTGCCTATTCCTCCTACTTTTGCCTTCAGTCCCTTGGAACTGCCTGACCACAGCCTTTTAATGACACTTCCCTTTTACCACTTAACACATTATATCTTGTTCCACAGTTATGTGGGGAATGTCTGTAGCTAAACTAACAGCTTCTCTCTATTGCTTCTTCCACTCAGCTCATGGTTTTTTACATCTTTACACACACACATACACACACATTCCTCCTTACTTCTGGTTATTGCTGTACAGTTTTCTTGGTCCTTACTGCCATGTTTCACTAAATCGTGATCTACACTTTCTGTCTCCTACTTCTTCACTTTCTATTAAACCCTCCACTTCCTCTCCCATCCTTAAACCTTGGGATTACCCAGAGTTCTATCCCTGGTCCTTATCCATTTCTTACATACTTGTTGGGGGTCAGGACAAAAGCATTTATAAGTCCTTCAACAACTTTTTCAGGTGATTCAAATTGATACCACATTGAGAACCACAGTTCATCCTGGGCAATCTCATTTACTCTACCCACATCTTTAACTACCACCTCTACAATGATGTTGAATAGATGCTTCTCAACTTATGACAGGGTTATGTCCTAATAAACCCATCCTAAGTTCAAAATATCATAAATCAGCCCTGGCCGGTCTGGCTCAGCAGTTGGAGCGTCAGCCTGTGGTCCAGAGAGACCCGGGTTCGGTTCCTACTAAGGGCATGTACCTTGGTTGCGGTTTGTCCCCGGCCCTGGTTGGTCGTGTGGGTGGCAGCCACTCAATGTGTCCCTTTCACGTCGATGTTTCTTTCTTTCTTTCTTTCTCTCTCTCTCTCTCTCTCTCTCTCTCTCATTCATTCCTACTCTATCTGAACAAAAAGTGGAAAAAGATGTCCTCGGGTAAGGATAAAAAAAAACAACACAAAAATTCAAGAAAGAAAAAATCATAAGTCAAAATGCATTTAATACCTAACCTACCAGATATCAGAGTTTAGCCTAGCTGGTTTCTACTGAATGCCTACTGCTTTCACACCATAGTTAAGTCGAAAAATTTTAACTTGAAGACCGTCTATACTTAACTCTGTATCTCAGGCTTAGCACAGATCTCTCTTCTGAGCTCTAGATGGAACCTGGTTCTCAAATCTGGCCAACCATCAGGAGCACCTGAAGAGTTTTTTAAACGTTTAGATTCCTGCTGACAGGACTCTGATTTAGTTGACCCAAAGTAGGAAACTAGATCATATTTAAAAGTAATAAACTGGACACATAGCAGGTGTTCACTGAATGGTTGCTAGAATTATTAAGACATCCCAACAATGACAGTTCAGTTCCTTTCCAAGTGTAACTGGTCAAACAGGTTTTGAGAATCATAAACCACATACTAGCCTGCATCTGAGAAGACTTTTTCCTCGCTTAGCTATTAGCAGCATCAGTCATCCAAGATAGAAATCTAGCAGTCGTCTTAAATGGCTCTCTTCTCACTAGTTCACTAACTTTTTTCTCTTTTAGTCTGTTTTTGTTTTCTTGTAACTTGCTGACTGACCACCATATCTCCTGTATCAAGAACAATAATAGGCACACAGTAGGAGCTCATTAATCTATACTGAACAAGCCCATAAATAATTACTGAATTGAAAATAAACACACAAACTACACATTTTAATTTCATGCAATAGAAAACTCTCAAAAGTGTCCTCTCCAATTCCAGAACAAGTGTTACTATGAGTAAAAGCTAGAACACAGGGTCACAAAGAGTGAGCTTCTGGAGTTCAAAACCTCAGCGATACAGCACTTACTATAATTTTTCTACATGTATCTCTCTCCCACACTTGAGTAGGGCCAGCCCGGAGTAGGTGAAAGCAGGCTTTGAACCTGAACAGATTTGGATCGAACTCTGTCTCTGTCATTCACTAGCTGCAAAGCTTTGAGCACGATTTATTTCTGAGCCTGTTTCCTCATCTGTAAAATGAGGAATGATAATAATCTCTACCTCATAGGGATATTATAAGTCTAAAAGAGCATATAGGTAATGTATATACCTGGAATGTAGCTCATTAGAATGAAGCCGATATTACAATTGAGATGCATTACAACAATGAGGTATCACCTCACACCTGTCAGAATGGCTACTATCAATAAATCAACAAACAACAAGTGCTGCCGAGGATGTGTACAAAAGGGAACCCCGGTACACTGCTGGTGGGAATGCAGATTGGTGCAGCCACTGTGAGTATGGAGTTTTCTCAAAAAGTTAAAAATGGAACTACCACCTGGTGGTATTGGCTCAGTGGCTTAAGGGTCATCCCATGGACTGAAAGGTCCTGGTTCCATTCTTGGTCAGGGCACATACCCAGGTTGTGGGCTCCATCCCCAGTAGGGGCATGCAGGAGGCAGCCGATGGGTGTCTCTCACATCAGTATTTCCCTCTCTCCCCCCCTTCCTTTCTCTCTAAAAAATCAATAAAAACATATTTAAAAAAAAAATAGAACTACCACCCTGGCCGGTTTGGCTCAGCAGTTAGAGCGTCGGCCCGCGGTCCGGAGAGACCCAAGTTCGGTTCCCGCTAAGGGCACGTGCCTCTGTTGCAGTTTGTCCCCAGCGCTGGTTGGGTTGTGTGGGTGGCAGCCACTCGATGTGTCCCTTTTATGTTCCTGTTTCTCTCTCTCTTCCTCTCTCTCCCTCCCACTCTATCTGAACAAAAAAATAAATAAATGCTCTCGGGTGAGGATTAAAAAAAAAACAAAAAACCTTTTTTTTTTTTTATCCTCACCCGAGGACATTTTTCCATTTTTTTGTTCAGATAGAGTGGGAGGGAGAGAGAGGAAGACAGAGAGAAACATCAATGTGAAAGGGACACATCGAGTGGCTGCCACCCTCACAACCAACCAGGGCCGGGGACAAACTGCAACCGAAGTACGTGCCCTTAGTGGGAACCGAACCTGGGACTCTCCGGACCGCGGGCCGACGCTCTAACTGCTGAGCCAAACTGGCCAGGGCATACCTTTTGACACAGAGACCCCAGTTCTGGGCATATATCCTAAGAATCCCAACAAAACACCAATCAGAAAGAATACATGCATGCTCACTTTAGCAGCACATATACTAAAATTGGAACTACACAGAGAAGATTAGCATGGCCCCTGCACAAGGATAACATACACGTTTGTGAAGCGTTCCATTTTTTTGAGGAAAAGAAAAAAAATAAAGAATACATGCAACCCTATGTTCATTGCAGTGTTATTTACAATAGCCAAGTGCCCATCACTTGATTCACATGAGTGGATAAAAAAACTGTGGTACTTGTACACAATGGACTACTACACGGCTGTTAAAAAAAAAAAAAAAAAAAAGAAGGCTCTCTTACCCTTTGCAACAGCAAAGGACCTGGAGATAGCTATGTTAAGTGAAATAAACCAGTCAGAAAAACAAGTACCAGTTGTTCTCACTAATATGTGGAATCTAACAAACCAAATAAACTGACCGACAAAACAGAACCAGAGGCATGGATACATGGAACAGACTGACAAATGTCAGAGGGAAGGCGGGTGGGGGGTACTGCGTAAAGGAAGGTGAAGGGATTAGCTAAAGAATATATATACATAGCCCATGGACACAGACAATGGTGTGGGGAGGGCTAAGAGAGGGGAGCGGGGGCTAACCTTCCCACACCATACCCCTCAGACTTGCTCCAGGCCCCGCCCCCTCGGAGCCTACCGGGCCTTCTTAGCTCACCCGAACCGGGATAGCAGTACCTGACCCATAGCGCACGTCGTGTGAGTGCAGTCGCACGTTGTGGCGCGTATTGAGTAGCTTTACCACTGAACCGCATGTCACGACAGCCAGATTGGACGTCCCCACAGCACTCCACAAACCCCCGAAAAACAGTAACGATAGCACAGCCATCCCGGCTGTGCCGCGGTGCCCCTAATCTGCGAAGGAAACTCGGCCCCTCCCCGGAAACGGAAGCTACAAGAGGAACCAGAGAGAGGAGGAAATGAAGAAGCCCTAGTTTGATCTTTATAGTTCCTTTGGCTAGAGCGGCCTGGGGGAACCAGCTAGGCCTGATTGCTTCCCATCCGCTCGCTCTGTTCCGGGGGATCTGTTCTGAAAGCTGCCTTCTTGAACCGCTTCTGCCAGTTTTCGCTCCTTCCCGGAGGAAGCCCCAGGAGCCGGGTGGGAGCAGAGAGCAAGAAATGGCCCACCCACTCCCAGTGACAGGGGGCCGGAAGTGACGTAGCACGTTGACGCAGCAGCGGCGGCGGTGGCGGCCGAGGGTCCGTGCGGTGGGTCCTTACCATCTTTTCCCAGGCTCGATTTGACGACTCCATTTTCGTCGGTGGGGGCTTAGCGTACCGGAGAAGAGGTGGGCTTCAGGTAGGTAGAGTGCGGACTGGAAAGCGTGCTCCTCGAATGGGTCAGGTGGGGACCCAGGCTCCTGGGGCCTGGTCCCGTAAGTAAAGGGGTATCGAGGAGTCGTATGCGGGAAGAACGGGGGGGCCCCGGCTTTCCCAGCTCTCTGAGGGAGGAGGAGGAGGAAAGCGGGGTAGTTGCTTAGAGTCTCAAGGCTTTTCCGAACCCTGTGCCACCCGAACCCGTGAATAGGTCTGCCTGTTATAACAACAGGCGTCCTCGGTCCTGTCCTTCTGTCGTAGCTTCTGAAAACTGGGCCACGCGAGAGGATTGGAAATGAAATGGATCTGGGGCTTCTGAGTCAGGATCAGGTGATCGAATTGTTTGTTCAAAGGATGTGATACCTATGGAGCTTTCAGGAGCTCGACCAGTAAGCCAAGAGAGTTATGCCAAATTCCATCTCTTTCCATATTGTTGAATAGTAAAGTTAGAACTTTTTGTAGATCGCTAGTTACATCCACAAACGCCTACCACAAAGGTCAGAATGGGCTATTAAGTTAAAACTTTATTTTCTTGCGTTGTCTGCCTCTCTCTAGGCACTTCCTTGAACTAGCTGGAGTAGTTCATTTCCCTTGATTGTTGCAAAAACTGATACTTATTTTTCTTTAGGAGGAGGCCTAAGCTCTCCAAAAACATGCCCGTGGAAATTCACTGTAATATCAGAAATAATAAGAGAGTATTGAGTTACACTACTGCTATTAATAAACATGGAGAGTATAAACAATTTTGGATTCGATTAATTTCTTGGGGGGAGTTGGCTTAGTTCCACTGTTGATTGGTTTTTAAGTCTTCATTGTGTTGATTACAAAGGTAGTATTGCTTACTCATCATCTCTGAATTTAGAGCCCTTTTGCATAACTTGTGTCTCTTCAGCTGGTACAAGCCCATTCTTACTCAGTTGGTTTGCCTGGCTGCTAGATTAGATTAACATAATATTGTTGCTCCCCAAGAAGTTTAAACCTCATCCAAAGATTAATCACGTCAGGAACTAGTGCAGTCTGGAGAGGCCCAGTCATATTTTATAGATCTTTCTCAATAGACCTTGACAAGTAAGGAAACCTACCCAGTGTGGAGGAAACATATGGGTCTTTGGAGGCAAATAAACTTTACTCTTGCTCCCATGTTCTTGGTCTCAATAATGCCACCACAATCAGAATTCTGTGTGTATAATCCTGAGATATTTTCCTCTTTGTTATTCCCAATAAAGTCAATCACCAAATTCTACCTTTCTATAAAAATCTATTCATATCAACATACAGCTTATGTTCTTTCTGATATTCTTCTTACCCGCCTCCAACTACTATCCTACTTTCTTAATTTCCCTTCATAGCTAGATATCTACCTGTGTCAACTTTCTCAGCTTTTATTCAGTTTTCACCCAGTACCAATCAGGTGTCTTTTCTGACTACTCCGTTGAAATTGCTCTTAATCAAGCTCATTAGTAAATATCCAAAACCTAACATGACAAAAAGAACATTTTGGGTTTCTCATCTTCCAAACCTGGTCTTCTCTATATCAGTAAGTAGTCATCCACATGGTTACCAAAGCCAAACCTCTGTGAATCATCTTGGATCCTTCTCCCTTACTATCCCCACCCCCAAGTCTTTTAGTAAGTCCTGTCACTTCTATTTCCAAAGTATGTTTTATTTATTTATTTATTTTTATCCTCACCCGAGGACATTTTTCCATTTTTTGCTCAGATAGAGTGGGAGGGAGAGAGAGGAAGAGAGAGAGAGAAACATCGACGTGAAAGGGACACATCGAGTGGCTGCCACCCGCACGACCCAACCAGGGCCGGGGACAAACTGCAACCGAGGTACGTGCCCTTAGCGGGAACCGAACCTGGGTCTCTCTGGACCGCAGGCCGACACTCCAACCGCTGAGCCAAACCAGCTAGGGCTCCAAAGTATGTTTTATATCTGTCTTCTATTCTTCATCTTCACTGCTACCACCCTGTTCCAAGCCACCATCATCTTTTGCCTGGACTACCACAAGAGAATCCTCAATTTTCCTTCCTTCCACCCAGATTCCCCTTCCAGTCTGTTTTCCATATTACAGGATCAGGTCAGGTCAGACCATGTCATTTCCCTATTTAAAATGCTCTAGTGCTTTTCCATGGCCTTCATAGCCCTACTTGAGGAGGCCCCTCCCCCTCACATTCTGCTGCCTTCACCCTTCTCTGGTCACTCTGGCCTTAGGACATTGCCTACCATATGCCAAATTCTTCTGTCTTTTTTACCAGGAACCTCTTCCTCTGGTTTTGCATACATCCTACCCATTTTTGTTATCTCAACCTAAATTTACCCTTTCAGAGGTGAGGGTGTTTATTTCCTTCCTAGCACTTATAACAGGGCCTGTATAATTTGTCTTTGGTTTTTCTTCTGCATCAGAATACAGGTATCCAGGGGGTTTAAAACCCCACAGGGGCATCGCAGCACCTTTCAGATAGAGTCTACAATCTTAACTTATCCTACTGAGATCTTCCAACTCACCAATCTTTCTTTCTCTTCCCAAAGTAGCCATTACTGTTCCTGCCACAGGGCGTCCTGGGCCTCGTGCTGGGAGTGCTCTTCAATATCACCACTCCTCAAACCACCTCCAGTGGGGCCAGCTCCTCCGCTCAATTGATTCCACCTCACTCTTTTTTTTTCCCCCCATCTTCACACGAGGACATTTTTCCATTTTTTTGTAGGGATAGAGAGAGAGAGAAACATCGACTTGAAAGGGACACATCGAGTGGCTGCCACCCGCACGGCCCAACCAGGGCCAGGGACAAACCGCAACCAAGGTACATGCCCTTAGCGGGAACCAAACCCGGGTCTCTTGGGACCGCAGGCCGATGCTCTAACTGCTGAGCCAAACCGGCCAGGGCTCCACCTTACTCTTAAAGTCTTTATTTAAAGTCACTTCCTCAAAACCAGGTTATAGTCCTCTATTACAGGATCCCATGAAACCTTTGTCATCAATTCTTTAAAAACCTCTACTACTAAACATTTTTTTAATTTACTGATTTTAGAGAGAAACGTTGATTTGTTCTACTCATCTGTGCACTCATTAATTGACTCTTTCTTATATGTGCCCTGACCAGCGATTGAACCAGCAACCTTGGCATTCCAGGACAACACACTAACCAACTGAGCTAATGGCCAGGGTGAAAGACCTCTCTACTTCTAGATTGGGTGTTACCAAACTAAGTCTCCTGGGGCAACTTAGATCACTTCCTATTCATTACAGGTTGTCTATGTCTGCTTTTGTGCTACATTGGTAGGTTTGGCCTTCTCTAATTTGCCAACCCTTGTGCTTGAGCAGGAACTACAGTACTGTATATGTTTCCCAGCTGTGATACAGGCTCAGTAGCTGTTATTATCTTCTTGTGTTGCAGGGATTCTGAATCTGGTTATATACTTCAGTTGTTTCTGCTCTTCTTTTGCCCTTTTCTTGTTCCCCAAGGAAACTTGGAAAGAAAGGGGATAACTAATATTTTTAAATTGTTTATTATGTTAATCATTAACAGTGGTGCTTTTTGTACTCTGGTAATGAAAAGATTCTAAAAGTAATGCTTATAAATATGGTGTGTGTGCATGTTAAAATGATTGTAGGTAGAATTAACCTTTTCTGTATATTAACATCTTGACTTGGTGGAATTAGGATTTTTCATAATAGGGTTCTGAATCCAAAACTTGAAAGAACTTAGTCTTACATGGACTTGGAATACTTTTACTTATTAAACTCTTACGTTTTTAGATTCCAAATTGTGTAGTTATTCATGACTGCCTTTGGAATAGTCCTAGGCTCTCACTCATAAAATACAGAATGTCTTGCCCTGGCTGGTGTGGCTCAGTGGGTTGGAACTTTGTACACCAAAAGGTTGTGGGTTTGATTCCTGATCACAGCACATACCTAGGTTTCAGGTTTGATCCCCATTCAGGGCGCTTACAGGAGGCAACCCATCGAAACCCATTGATGTTTCTCTCACACATCTCTCTCTCTTGCTCTCTCGCTCTCTTTTGCTCTTCCTCCCCCCCCCTTTCCCTTTCTAAAAAAAATAAACATATCCTCGGATGAGGATTTTTTTCCCTCACCCGAGGACTTTTTTTTTTTTTTTTTTTGCGTTTATCTTCAGATAGAGCGGGAGGGAGAGAGGGGGGAAGCGAGAGAGAGAAACATTGATGTGAGAGAGGCACATCAAGTGGTCGCTATCCACACAACCCCAGCCAGGGCCAGGGACAAACTGCAACCAAGGTACATGCCCTTAGCAGGAACCAAACCCAGGACTCTCCAGTCCGCGGGCTGGCACTCTAACCACTGAGCAAAACTGGCCAGGGCTCAAATGAAGATTTTTTAAAAGTACAGAATATCTTGTAGTTTAGACTCCACACCAAACTTCTGGGGCTATTCCTCAGACCACTAGGCCCTTTTAAACTTAAGTCTTTGCTCATGTTTCCTTTTTCCAGACTATCTTCTTAACTGCTCTCAACTTAGGCATCAGGCATTTCCTGACCTCCCTCTTCATGTTACTCTCATGATCGTTGTATATAATTATCATATAACATTTTTTGTTTTGTCACAACTTTATTTACAAGTGTTTTAA